CTCGTCGTCGTCGTCGTCGTCGTCTTGGCGTCGTCGTCGCTTCCGTCGTCGTTGTCGCCGTGGTCGTCCTTCCTCCCTCGTTGTCTTCGTCGGCGTCTCGTCGTTGTCCCTCCTATTTCGTCGCGTCGTCGTCGTCGTCGTCGTGGTCTTCACTCCTCCCTCGTCGTTATCCTCCTCCCTCGTCGTCGTCGTCCGTCGTCGGCGTCTCGTCGTCGTCCCTCCTATTTCGTCGCCGTCGTCGTCGTCTTCGTCGTCGTTGTCGTCGTCGTCGTCTTCCCTCCTCCCTCGTCGTTGTCGTCGTCGGCGTCGCCGTCCTTCCTCCTTCTTCGTCGTTGGCGTCGTCGCCGTCTTCCTCCTCCATCGTCGTTGTCGTCGTTGTCGCCGTCGTCGTTTTTTCTCCTCCCTCGTCGTCGTCTCCGTTGGCGACGTCGTCGTCGTCTTCGTCGTCGTCGTCGGCGTCTTTGTCGTCGTCGTCGGTGTCGTCGTCGTCGTTGTCGTCGAAAACATTGGAGACGTCGTCGGTGTCGTCGCAGTCGGTGTCGGCGTCGCCGTCGTCGTCGATGTCGCTGTCGTCGTCGGCGTCGGTGTCGTGGCCAAGTGACATGTGGTACCTACCGTCACGGTCTTGTCTGAAGAGGTCTTGCGACCAAGTTGCGGGTGGGAGGGTGGGATGTTTGCACGAGCAGTGGAGAGGACAGCTTCAAGACGGTCAAGATTGATGCACACCTTACTCTCATCCGACCCCCCCCCCTCCTCCCCTTCGGAACGAGCGAGGGCGGGGGCCAGAGCCCACCGCCCTCTCTCGTCCACCGTGATGCTTCCTCTGCCCCGCCGCCCACCATGCCTGCTGCCACCCCACAGCCATCCCACCACTCTGGCTGCTTCTCTTGCTCGCTGTGCTGGAGCACCGCTCGCTGCTGTGCAGGCGTCCTGCGCGTGCAGGCTGCTCCACGCCTTGCCTTGAAGAGCTGCCGCAAGCCCTCAAGCGCTCCGCGCGCGGGCCGCCGAGAGCCGCGCGCGAGCCGCGCCGGGAGCCGCCTGCCTCGGAGGGGAGGCGCGTGCGCCCTCGGCCGCGCCGGGCTGGCCAGGCGCCGCTTCCGCGCCGCCGTGCTCGTCGCCGCCGATGTCGTCGCCGTTGTCACCGCGGCGGCGGCGGCCGTCGTCGTCGCCGCCGTCGGAGGGGGGCGGGGGAGGGAGGAGGAGGTCGGAGGAGGAGGAAAAGGTACTGATGCGCCGCTACCTTTCCTTCCTTTGACTTTTCCTCTTTGGAGGCCTCCTGGGAGGCCCTTGTCGCCACCGCTGGATTGGCCTCGAAATTCTAGTCAAAACGCGCCCTGGGGGGGGTCCGGGGAGTAGTTGTATCGGTACCTTGAGGTCTCCCCAGCAGGAGGAGGAGGAGGAGGAACAGGAAGAGGATCAGGATCAGGATCAGGACCAGGATCAGGATCAGGATCAGGATCTGGACGGGGAAGAGGATCAGAAGGGGGAGGGAGAGGGGGAGGTGGAGGGAGCCAGCGGGAGGACGGGGAGGAGGAAGAGAGTGGGTGAGTGGGAGAGGGAAGAAGAGGAGGAGGAGGAGAGGAGGAGGAGGAGGAGGAGGAGGAGGAGGAGAGGAGGAGGAGGGAGGAGGACGAGGAGGAGGAGGAGGAGGAGAGGAGGAGGAGGAGGAGGAGGAGGAGGAGGAGGGAGGGAGGAGGAGGAGGAGGGGAGAGGAGAGGGGGAGGAGGGGAGGAGGAGGAGGCGGAGGAGGAGGACGAGGACGAGGAGGATGACAAGGAGGAGGAGGAGGAGGATTTTGGTTTTGGACTCCGCCTAGGATCATCCGAAGACGCCCTTAGGACGCAGAGGAGGAGGAGGAGGACGAGGAGGAGGAGGAGGAGGAAGAGGAGGAGGAGGAGGAGGACGAGGACGAGGAGGAGGAGGAGGACGACGACGAGGTGGGGAAGGGGGAGAGGGGGAGGGGGGAGAGGGTGGAGGCGGAGGAGGCAGAGGAGTGCGACGGCCTGGAACGCAGCCGAGCTGTGGTCAGAGGTCGCGGGTCGCGGCGCCCCTCAGGTAGAGAAGATGACAGGCTGTTCGCTCTACAACGCGTTCTTCTTCTTGTACGTCTTCATCGTGCCCGCGTTTCTCCAGTATCTCATACGTGCGCCCTCGACTTTCACCTCCGCGCCGTTCTACCCTGTGCCGTTGGCGACGCTGCAGGGCAAGGTGGCGCATGTGAACATGAGCAGCCCTCCACAGACCATGGAGGAGGGAGTCAATCACTGCAAGCCCTGCTACGAAGACCAGTACCACAAGACGGGTATGTACCAGTGGAACATCATGCTCAGGATGTCGTACGCGGACCTGATGGCGCAGTCCAAGGATCGGCGGCGCGCCCAGGGGTGCAGGCAGAGGGCGTCGGCCTTCTCGGTGGGCTCGCGAAGCTCTCGCAGCTTGCTCTGAAAACACCAGCGGCTTCTCACCAGCGGCTTCTCAGAAGGCCGGGGGGTCCTGAGAAGCCCTTCTGCCGTCTGCAAAGGCCTGCCTCCCCCTTACTTCCCCCCTCAGCGCGCCGCCGACAAGGACAATCCAGTGACCACCATGTACCCTGTCATCCTCGCGTCGAACGACTTCAAGCTGTGGAAAGTGGTAGCCGACGCGGACGACGTCAACGCGGGAATGTCCAACGACACGGGCGACACGACGAAGGAGCTCGTGCACATCGCACCGCCGCTGCTCGTGGCAGCTCTCAAGCCGTTCGGCTGCGTGACCAACGAGACCGGCACCACCGACCCCTTCCAGTGGTTCTTTGCTTCGGGCGAGAAGGCGAACCGCTACAAGTGGAGGCTGGTCGACCACGTCTCGACACACGGCTCTCTGATGAGGAAAAGGTACCGATGTTGCTATCCTTGCCTCGCTTTTCCATTTGGGGCCGCCTGGTGGGATGCCCTTGTGGCCACGGCTGGATTCTCTTCGAAAATTCCAATCAGAACGCACCCTGGGAGGGGTCCGGGGCGGGGAGTAGCCAGATCGGTATATGTTTGGTTTCCCCAGGCTCGGTCCACCTCGTCGCCTGCGTGATGGAGGGCTTCGACAAGGCTCGAGGAAAAAACGACGTAGACATCCTGTCGGAGGCCCGCGCGGATTTCTTGGATCGGCGCTGCGCCACCCTCCCTGGCGTACGGAGCGCGCCAGGGGCGGCGCCAGGGCTGCCGACAGGGGGATCCAGCGCCGATCCAAGAAATCCGCACGGAGCTCCAAAAGTTTTATGTGCATGTTGCTGCTTCCTTAGTGTCTGCTTTTCATGGCCGACTGGTACGCGCGCTGCTGGATCGCTTCGGAGATCTTTGGAGGGGTGTGTACTGCTGTGCGCGTGCAGGCAGTTGTATAGTTCTATGTCCGCCTCACTCGTGGGGTGAGCCGCTCCCCAAGCTGCTGGTCGGTCGAGCCTTGCGCGGCGTTGCGCAAAGTCAACACGCTGAAAAAAGGACCACCTTGGGCTCGGGAGGGGCCGCGGTTTTCGGGCCGTTCCTTTGGTTTTGGTCGGGGGACCTACAGTAGGAGCTCGACCACAGGAAGCCTTACACGAGAAGCCCAGCCCTAAGACCCCAGGACGTCCATGGATTTTTGGTGTGGGAAAATCGCATTTCCCACCGCAAAACTATCGAAAACCGAGAAACCCAGGGCACCCTGGAGCCCGAGAAACCCAGGGCACCCTGGAGGCAAGCAGGGTGTTTCTTGGCATGGGTCTCCGGGACGTCCATGGTTTTTTGGTATGGGAACGTCGCGCTCTCCGCAGAAAAGCCATCGAAGCCCGAGAAACCCAGAGAACCCTACTCGAAGCCGAGGCTCGCCAGGCGCGCGCGGCTTGAGGCCTCGAGCGCGGCAACCCCCGAGGGCCCGGACATGCTCGAGAGGAGGAGGATGAGGAGGAGGAGGAGGAGAAGAAGGACCATGAGATCAGCTGTATTCGAAGCCGAGGCTCGCCATGGCCAGAAGAGCACCTTCGTTCCTTGTCTGGCGCTCCCTCTGGCAGGACGCCGACTGTACACCTCCTCCTCCTCCTCCTCCTCCTCCTCCTCCTCCTCCTCCTCCTCGTCTCCTCCTCGTCTCCTCCTCGTCTCCTTCTCCTCCTTCTCCACCTCCTCGTCCTTCTCCTCCTCCTTCTCCTCGAATCTTCCTCAAATCTCGTCTCATCCTCGTCATCCTCCTCATTCTCCTCCTCCGCCTCCTCCTCTCCCTCCTCCTCAGGCGGCGCGGAGGGGCTGCGCTCTTTTCTGCGCCGTACCCTGCGAGGACCTCCAGAGGTCAACGCGGTGATGGCCCACTTTGCGCAGACTGGGCCTTGGGCATTGTCTTGGATCCTTTGTTCGTCGAACTGCCTTATGTCTGGACCTGTGCTCTTGTCTATGACAACGCTTTGAGCCAAGTCCGTTCTCCTGGCGTACAAGAATGTTCTCCTACCTCCACAGGCAGGGGTGTAGTCCTCCGAAGGTGAACGTGGTGAAGGCCTGCTTCTCAAGGGTCCCCTTTCATCCTTGCTTCTTTGGTCATCTTCTGCCCGTCCTCGGCCACTTTCGATGGCCAGCCACGCTCGAAGAGCATCGGCCAGCCCAGCCGGAAGAGCCTCAGCGCAAAGTGTTCTTACTTCCAGGCAGTTTTGTAGTTCGACGAAGAGTATCGCCATACAGATGAACTTTCGGCGCGCCGCGCGGATTTCTTGGATTCGCGCATGGGCCCCCCCGGCGGCGCCTCCAGCGCCGCCCCTTGCGCGCTCCGCGCGCCAGGGAGGGGGACCTGGCGTTCAGATCCCAGGAGTGTCCGCGCGGAGCGCCACCAGCTCTTGTGTTTCTGGCGCGGTTCTCTCCGAAGGTGAACGCGGTGATGACCTACTTCGCGCAGAACTGCATCAACGCCGCGGGCAAGATGGTGTGCGAGCGGACGCCGCGGGAGGTGCTGGGGCAGTGCTTCGCCCTGGGCTCCGCCTGCGGGCAGGCCTGCGGCTTCTTCTCCCCCACCGTGCAGCACTGCTCCAGCGACGGCCCTCGGGGGAAGAAAAGAGCGCGGTGCGGTCTAGGCCTCCTGGATTCAAGTCGGGCATGTCCCTCCACAGGGGGGATATTCAGAAATGGTCCAAAAATAGTCTGGGGGTGTTTGAGCATGTTTGACTATTTTTACCTCCCTTCCAAAAAACGCCTGTAGGAGGGCATGCCCGACAGAAGTCTAGGCCTCCTAGAGGGGGTCGGAGTAGACGGGGTCGGAGGAACGCGCCGCATCGCCGATGCATCGGCGATGCGGCTCGATGCGGAGGCCGAGTTTCTTCATGCCGGTGCATGGCCGATGCATTGGCGATGCGGCGAGATCTTCCGACCCCATCTATTCGGACCCCATCGAGGATGCTTCTAGTCAACCCGCGTACACGTCGGTCGTTGAAAGTATATGCATTTGTGAATCTCCTGATCCCAGTCTACTTTGGCCGCCTTCCTACTTCAAAAGTCGAGTGGTGTCCCCTCTTCCCGCCTCAGGGGGCGGGCGGAAACCCAATCTACTTCCAACGCCATCCTACTTCATGGTTCTACCTGCTTCTTCAGACCGACGGGTATAGTCAATCCGCGTAGCAAGTATGAGCGATTTTCCAAGATTGCCCCTGGAGATCCGACGCTCCGAAAAAATGAAGCGGGCGGTTTTGACAGTGTTCGGCCTCTGGGGAGCCTCGCCAGGCCTCGGGAGCATTAGACAACGATTCAGGACGAAGAACCAGTCCTGTAGAATGGGTCCAGGCCACTGGGGGTCGATGTTGTACTGGTCCTGTCTTCGTCTTAAAGTCAACCCGCATAGGAAGGATGAGCAACTTTCAAAGGCTACCCTTGCCTCGTACCCTTCGGCCCATCCTTGGCCGCTCTAGCTGGCCGCGCCCCGCTCGCAAAGTGTCGGCATGGCCTTACAAGGCCCGTGAGTTCTTATCGTGCGTTCTTCTGATACGGGTTGACTGTGTAAGCCTACCGTCGTGAATTTTGGCTTATTGTGTCGCGGCGCCAGTTCTGGCACACCACGCTTCGGCGCGACGCGCTGTCCCAATTTCTGGTCCCAAGGCGTCAGCGCCCCGAGTTTTCCCAGGCTCGCCCCGCGGAGCGGAGCGACATGCGCTGTCCAATCGCGAGGTGCAGCGTGTCGCCGGGGCCGCCGCCGTGACGCGCTGTGTAGGCAGAAGTTCCCGACCGTAAGCGTCCTAAGCTCCGCGCGGATTTCTTGGGTCGGCGCTGGGGCCCCCCGGCGGCACCTCGGGCGCCGCTGCCGGGCGCTCCGCGCGCCAGGGAGGAGGGTCCAGCGCAGATCCAGGCAACCGGCGCGCGCGGCGCGGACCTCCGAAGGCGTGTTCATGCCGTCTTTGGGTCTCCTGATCAGGTCATCTGGACCCGATGTTCTTCCAGGGCCTCACGTCCAAGAGGGTGAGTATCAAGACGGCCTCGGGCGGGGGTGCCTCGAACGCGCTGGTGAACTGCGACGAGGGCGACTGCAAGACTGGCCTCAGCTTCAAGGGAATGTACGCAGAGGCTGACAATCCCAACGACTTCGTAGTCGACTCTGGGGAGGCCGAGATGGCGGATTTCTACACGATCCTCTTCGCCATGTCAGAGGTTGATTCAGGAGTCGCCGTTTTGCCGGAGGCGGAGGCGAAGGAGGCGGGGACGAAGGAGGATAGCGCGGAGGACGAAGCGGATGACTTCGGATTCGCGAGGGATCGCAGGCTCCAGATCAGCTCCACGAAGTACGCCTGGCAGATCGCGCACATGCCCAACTTGACGCTGGGTGTCTTCAAGGACCACAGCTCGAACACGATGCGCATCGACCCCACAAAGGATCGGGCAGTAAGAGAACGCCCGCCCAGACAAGTCGACCGAGGATATCTGCACAGGCCCACTCGACATTGGCATACGAGTGTGCCAGTGCAGTTCCCGATCGGTTTCGCTGATCGACGTGCGTCTCGCCGGGTAAATCCGGTTGCTTCTGGACGTCGATTGGTGGTTCCGTCCAGGTGCCCTCAGAACGGGGTGCGGGCGCGCACCCGTGGAGGGCCCTGGCAGCTTTCGCGAAAGGGCGGTTTGCCAAAGAGTTTCAGAGTCAACCTTCGAGAGGAGTCCTGCTTCGCGCAGCCAGGGTTCACCTACATGGTTGCATGCATGACGTCTGAGCCTCAGTGGCTCCCAGAAGCGGCAGGGGCGCTTCTGCTATCTACAAAAAAAACGTTCTCTTCGTAGAACATTGAGATTGTACTACACAGCAACAACAACAACAGCAGCAGCAGCAACAGCAGCAACAGCAACAATATAGTTAATAGGGTTCGTTCTTATCTGCTCGCGGGTGATTCAACACGTATATCTCAAACTCTCGATACTCGCCCTCTTCGTCTTCGATCATACCCCCTTGGGGGTATATATACTTTTCTTAGCTGCAACGTGTATTCCGTGCAGCACCTAAGGCAGGGGAAGAGAGGACGGAAGGACGGAAGGGACAAGGGGGAGAGGAGGATGGAGTACGAGAGAGAGAGAGAGAGCAGCAGGAAGAGGCTTAGGAACAGAAAAGACGTGGCAGAACCGCACGGGCACATCGGGCGGGTAGACCCTTACAGGCGGGCCCAGGCGGCCAGGTCAAGCAGGCGGGCTGGTGAAGCGTGCGCCCTGCATGAATCGTGAGGAAGCCTTGAGCGACAGCGCGATTGCAAAATAGATCTCGTGAGGAAATCCAGGGCAAGAGCGCGATTCCTGAGTGTCGAGGGTGCGGCGCCTAAATCAAGTGCGAGGAAGTCCCGGGCGACAGCGCGGTTCCTGATTGTCGAAAGCGCGCCGCCTGAATCAATTTAGAGGAGGTCTCAGGCGAGAACGCGCTCCTTTGATAAATTGCAAGGAAGTCCCACGCGAGAGCGCGATCCTTCAAAAACTTACAAGGAAGTGTCAGGCGGGAGCCGCTGTTGTTGCAAACCGGGGGCCAGGGGCACAGTTTGAGCAGGAAGATTTTCCGTTTTCAAAACACAACAAGCCCCAGGAAGGGCATTTCAATTGAAAAGCATCAAGTGTACGCGAATGCGTGAACGCGTGAGTCCTGCATAATTCGCCAGGAATCCTTGGGCGAGAGCGCGATTCATAAGTAAATGATGAGGAAGTGCCAGGCGAGAGCGCGATTCCCAAATGGCGAGGGCGTGGCGCCTGAACAAATTGCGAGGAAGTCGCAGGCAAGAGCGCGGTGCTTGGATAAATTGCAAGGACGTCCCTAAGGAGAGCGCGATTCCCCAGTACACTGTGGGGAAGCACCAGACGGAAGCCGTTGGGGCCACAGACGCAGTTTGAGCAGAAAGATGCTCCCTTTTCAAATAGAGGGTGCGAGCCTTGGGAGGGGCACTTCAATTGAAAAAGCCATGTTTAACCGGGGGGTCAACATTACTTGTTATTCAGCATTGAGAGCTCAACAACAACAACAACAACAACAACAACAGCAACAACAACGACAGCTGCAGCATCAATAGCAACAGCCACAGCAACAACAACAGCAGCAGCAACAACAACAAACACATTAACGTTAATAATGTTCGCTCTTATCTGCTCGCGTGCCGCCCAACACGTATATCCCAAATCCTCGACACCCGCCCTCTTCGTATTCGATCGAACCCCTTCTGGGGTAGACCTGTCTTACGTGCATCGTGTATTTCATGCAGCCCTCAAGGCAGGGGAAGAAAGGACGGTTGGAAGGAATGGACAAGGGGGAGGGAGGAGGGTGGAGCACGAGAGAGAATTGCAGGAAAGGGGCCAGGAGCAGAAAACACGTGGCAGAACCAGACGGGCAGATCGGGCGAGCAGACCCTAGCGGGCGGGTCTGAAAAGGTGGCCCCAGGCGGCCAGGTCGAGCAGGCGGGTTGCTGAAGCGTGCGTTCTTCATAAATCGCGATGAAGTTTCGAACGACAGCGTGATTTCCAAATAGATTGCGGGGACATCCACAGCGAGAGCGTGACTCCTGAATGTCGAGGGCGCGGAGTCTGAATAGATTGCGAGGACGTCCCACGCGATAGCGCGATTCCTGTATACATCGTGAGGACGTCCCGCGCGAGAGCGCGATTTGTGAATAAATTGTGAAAAAGTATCGGGCAGGAGCCGTTGTTGTTGCTGTTGTTGTAAGCCGGGGGCCAGGGGCCCAGTTTGGTGTCCCTCCGCTTCCATGTTTCCAAGAAGATGTGCCAGAGGCGGAAGAAGCACTTCAATTGAAAAATACAACGGTTACCCGAGAGGGGGGGGGTCAATAATCATTAGACTGTAGATATGCGAGCTCAACAACAGCAACAACAACAACAACACCAAAGTATAGTTCCCCAATCAGAGCTTGCCTCTGTAGGGGTCCTAGCGGATTCATATGGTTAGGCTAGGTTTGCCGCCGATTTTCGCGGCACGCCCGGGTGCCCGGGTGCCCAGGTGCCCGGGTGCCCGGGTGCCCGGGCGTGCTTGGTGGTGCCCGCGGGTGCCCTACAGCCCTATAGCCCTATAGTCGAATAGCCCTAGAGCCCTATAGCCCTACAGCTCTATAGCTCTATAGCCCTACAGCCCTATAGCTCAATAGCCCTATAGCCCTATAGCCTATAGCCCTATAGACCAATAGCCCTATAGCCCTGTAGCTCTATTACCCTATAGCCCAATAGCCCTATAGCCCATATAGCCCTCTAGCCCTACAGCCCCAAAAAGATTATGATTGGGTTTTTTCTCCGGTATCATTGTCTTACCTGCAGCATGTAATTCGTGCAGCCATGAAGGCAGGGAAAGAGAGGACGGATGGAAGGAAGGGACAAGGGGGAGGGAGGAGGATGAAGCACGAGAGAGGGAGAGTAGCAGCAGAGGGTCTAGGAGCCAAAAAAACACATGGCAGAAGCAGACAGGCAGATCGGGCGGGTAGACCATAACACGCGGGTCGGGAAGGCGGGCCCAGGCGGCCAGGTCGACTAGGCGGGTTGCTGAAGCGTGCGTCCTGCATGAATCGCGGGAAGTTTCGATCTATAGCGCGAGTCCCAAACAAAAGGTGAGAAGATCCGCAGCGAGAGCATGATCTTTGAGTGTCGAGGGCGCGGCGTCTGAATAAATTGAGAGGAAGTCCCACACGATATCGCGATTCCTGTAGACATTGTGAGGAAGTCTTGCGCGGGAGCGCGATTTAGAAATACAATGCGAGGAAGTATCAAACGGGAGCCGCTGCTATTGTAAACCAGCTGCCAAAGACAGAATTCTGAGACCCCAAGACTTTCCCTGATGAAAAACAGGGTGCGGGCCCCAGGAATGGCATTTCAAGGAGGGATCAACAACGAGCATTATTCAGCAATGCGAGTTCAACAACAATGACGGCGACGACAACGACAACAACAATAACAAAACATACCAACAACAACAACAACAACAACAACAACAACAACAACAACAACAGTCACGTTACCCCCATGTGCCTGCCATGTTTCAACGTGCGACATGTGCCCATCATGATACCACAGCTTTTTTGGGGGGGAACTAAGTGAACTAAATGAAAGGGGGGCGATATTCCCACACCCCGATCCCCCGCCCAAGGAGGTCGAGCCGACACCACTCCTGGGGCACATACCCACTTTCAGCTCGCACGACACATAAGAAAAAGCCACGGCGCGACGATGGGTAACGGTGAGGAGAAGGGTAATGTGCAGGAGCGGGCGGGAAGCATGAAGGATTCGAGCCTCAGCCGCAGGGAACGGACAGGAGCACGCACAAATCACGAACTGCTCGAGCCCCAGTCGAGGGGGGAGATGTAGGAACATAAGAAAAACACATACGACTCGAGCCCCAGGAGATGGGAGGAGGAGGAGGAGGAGGAGGAGGAGGAGGAGGCGGAATTTGAGGAGGAGGGGCGGAATTGGAGGAGGAGGAGGAGGAGGAGGAGGAGGCGGCGGAGGGGAGGAGGAGGAGGAGGAGGAGGAGGAGGAGGAGAGAGGGGGGGGAGGAGGAGGAGGAGGAGGAGGAGGAGGAGGAGGAGGAGGAGGGGAGGGGGCGGAGGAGGAGAGGAACGGAGGAGGAGGAGGAGGAGGAGGAGGAGAGGAGGAGGGGGGCGAGGAGGAGGAGGAGGAGGAGGAGGAGGAGGACGAGGGAGGGGGGCGGAGGTGGAGGAGGAGGAAGGAGGAGGAGGGAGGAGGAGGGGGGAGGGGGGGCGGAGGAGGGGAGGGGAGGAGGAGGAGGAGGAGAGGAGGAGGAGGTGGAGGAGGAGGAGGAGGAGGAGGAGGAGGAGGAGGAGGAGGAGGAGGGAGCGTATGCAAACTGCAAAAAGGAGTCTACCCTCGGCGGAGGGGCGGCAAAGAGCCTGCGGGGGCGAAGCCTGTGAGGCCGAAGCCCACGGGGGACCGAGGAGCACTCCCCGAACGCGCATCCCAATTCAGAGAAATGCTTCCTGGGGCCCCCCTGGGAACTCCCAGGGCCTCCTGGGGGCGGCAGGGGTGCCGAAAAGCGCTCCCCGAACACAAAACTGTCCCAGCGCATGCTTATATATACCTATACGACCACCCTGCGGGTGATAAGGAGGTGAGGGGGGAGGGGGAACCAACGTCTCACTCAATCGATCTCGCTATCGATCTCACGATCGATCTCACAATCGATCTCACAATCGATCTCACAATCGATCTCACATTCGGTCTCACATTCGGTCTCACTGTCGATCTCACTATCGATCTCACAATCGATCTTACAATCGACGTCATCCTCATCATCATCATCATCATCATCATCATCATCATCATCATCATCATCATCATCAACATCAACATCATCATCATCATCATCATCATCATCATCATCATCATCATCATCATAATCATCGCCATCATCATCATATCGATCTCACGATCGATCTCACATTCGATCTCACTATCGATATCACTATCGATCTCGCCATCGATCTCACTATCGATCTCACAATCGATCTCACAATCAATCTCACATTCGGTCTCACATTCGGTCTCACTGTCGATCTCACTATCGATCTCACAATCGATCTCACAATCGACGTCATCATCATCATCATCAACATCAGCATCATCATCATCATCATCATCATCATCATCATCATCATCGCCATCATCAACATATCGATCTCACAATGGATCTCACATTCGATCTCACTATCGATATCACTATCGATCTCGCTATCGATCTCACTATCGATCTCACAATCGATCTCACAATCGATCTCACATTCGGTCTCACATTCGGTCTCACTGTCGATCTCACTATCGATCTCACAATCGATCTCACAATCGACGTCATCATCATCATCATCAACATCAACATCATCATCATCATCATCATCATCATCGTCATCGCCATCATCAACATCATCATCATCACCATCATCATTACCATCATCATCATAACCATCGGGGACCATCACTATCGGGACACCGACGGGACACCGACGGGACACCGGCGGGACACCGCGCGCCACCGGCCGCCCGGAAGAGACACATTTGGTCCGGCCGCGCCTCAGCCACAGGGACACCGACGGGACACCAGCGGGACACCGGCGGGACACCGCGCGCCACCGGCCGCCCGGGGGAGAATCATTTGGTCCGGCCGCGCCTCAGCCACAGGAGACTTTCTCTCGCCCGCCCACGCAGCTTCGCCTCGCCCGCACGCACGGCACGCACGAACACGAAACCGAAATCGATTTCCCGGTAGGGGGGCTCTCCGTTCCACTTCGATCTCACCCCCTCACCTCCGATAAATATATATATATATAAATATATATACATATACATATATATGTATAAATAATTATATGTATACACATACATACATACATACATACATACATACATGCATGCATGTATGCATACATACATACATACATACATACATACATACATACATATGTTGTATCTGTTTAACAGCATACACAAAACCAAACAACACAAAACAGAAACGCACATCCCAATTCAGAAAAGTGCTTCTTGTCGGAATTAGGAGCATATACATTACCAGTGGCGGGCTGTTTTTCGATCCCAGGAGTTCTCTCGGATCGGGGACGACGTCGGGGTGGTGTGGTGTATACTTGTTCCCTGCTTGACCGGGGAAACAACGAGAATTGTATACACCAGGATCCCGTATACACCAGGATCCGCTTTCTTGTGCGAGTTTCAGTGCGGGGCCGGAAAAAAAAACATCGGCTCCTTATCTTGGGGGCCCCTGGGAATTCTTAGGGCCTCCTGGGGGCAGGAGGGGTGACCTCCTGGGGCCTCTTCGGGCCGGGAGGGCCGACAAACGCTCTCCGAACACATTCCGATGAAGAAACGTGTTTCCCAAAATCGCGTTGTCGCGCGAGTCGCGCGGGACTTCCTCACGATTTTTCCAGGAGTCGCGCTGCTGCGAGGGACTGCCTCGCAATGTATACAGGCGCTGCGCCTTCGACATTCAGGTCATCACGTTCTCGCGTTGGCTTACCACACGGTTTACTTGGGAATCGCATTGTCGCTCAAGACTTCCTCGCGAGTCATGCAGGGCTCACGCTTCAGCAGCCCGCCTGCTCGACCTGGCCACCTGGGCCCGCCTTGCCGACCCGCCCGCTGGGGTCTGCCTATCCGATTCGCCCGAGGTCGTGCGATCGAAGACGAAGAGGGCGGGTACCGAGGTTTTGGGATATACGTGTTGAATGGCACGCGAGCAGATAGGAGCGAACAGTATTGAAATGATTGTTGTTATTGTTGTTGTTTATGTTGTTGTTCATGTTGTTGGTGTTGGTGTTGGTGTTGTTGTTGCTGTTGTTGTTGCTGCGCCTGCGCTGAGGCGAGAGCGCCAAGGCGTCCAATAATAATCACTGTTTCGGATTTCGGATTCAGCAACTAATTTTGAGAGTGTTCGCTCTTATCTGCTCGCTCGCGTGTCATTCAACATCCTAGCCCCAAGCAGTCGACATCCACCCTCTTCGTCTTCGATCGTACCCCCCATCGGGGGCATATCTTCTTTACTTGCCACGTGTAACTGGCGCAGTCCCCAGGGGAAGCGAGGGAGGAGGGAAGGGACAAAGGGGAGGGAGAAGGATGGCGCACTATAGAGAGACTGGCAGGAGAGGGGGGGGTCAGGAGCAGGAAGTCCAGCGGCAGAACCAGGCGGGCGGGCCGGGCGGGCGGACCCCAGCGGGCGGGTCGGCCGGGCAGGCCCGGACGGCCGAGAGTGGAGCGGGCAGGTCGCGGAAGCGTCAGCCCTGCACCACTCGCGAGCAGCGGCGCGGTTCGCAGGCGAAGCGCGAGGAACTCTCCAAGGCGAGAGCGTGATTCCCGAGTGTCGAGGGCGCGGCGCTTCAGCGAATTGCGAAGAGGTACCACGCGATGGCGCGGTGCCTGCAGAAGTTGTGGGGACGTCCCGCGCGCGAGCGCGATTTGGGTCGCATTGTAAGGAAGGGTCAGGCGGGATCCTTTCGCTGTTGTTGCAAACCGGGGACAAGGAGCGCAGTCTGACGCTCAAGCGCTTCCTTTGTAAAATAACTGTGTGCGAGCCGCGGGAGGAGCATTTTGATTGATAAAGAACAAGGTGCACCGGAGCAGGGAAATGAACAAATATTATTCTGAAATCAGAATTCAACAACAGCAACAACAACAAACGAAAAAACATTGCTCCCAGAAATGGCAAACAACCTTCTGCTCGCTTGGAACTGGAAATAGAACAGGACAGAAAGAACGGCGAAACGGGACCGACAGCAAAAATGGCACAACGGAAATAGCCAACTGATTGCTTTGTCGTTTCCAGGGCCTACTACCCAGGGAAACGTAAGATTCGAGCGCGACCTGGGTTTCGACGGTCCAGTTGTCGTGGGACGTTTGCAGCGGGAGCTCGCGTCGAACTGTAGATTGGGCCTCGTCATTTTCATGATGGCCCCGTCAGGCCAACCCGAGGCTCCCGAACCCGAGTCTCACGTCTCCCCGACACTAAGTTTAAGTTGGGCATGCCCTCCTACAGGCGGATCTTGGGCGAAGAATGCTAAATATTCAAAACATATGCAACACGTGCTCAAAAAGACGCCAAAAAAATGTCACCGAGGTATTTTGTTTGACTGCTTCCGAATAAGTCCTCCTGTGGAGGGACGCGCCCGACTCAACACTGAGTCGGAAACCGGAACATATACATTATCAGTGGCGGGTTTTGTTTCAATGCCACGACTTTTTGAGGGTCGGGGACGACGTCGGGGTGGTGTGTTGTATACTTCTTCCCCCGTTTTCCAAGGGAAACGACGAAAAATGTACACACCAGGATCCCGTATAATTACGCCAGGATCCGCGTTCCCGTGCGAACTTCAGCGCAGGGTCGGAAAAAAGCGTCGGTGCATATAGAGCTCGTCTCCCCACTGAGGTCCGAGCCCGTCTTCACCAGCGGCAACGGCCTGGACATCGCGGGCCCTCCCTTCAACGACCGCTGCCTGGCCGTGGGCGGCCTCTGCGGGGCCGTCTGCGGCTCGGGGCAGACGCTGGACGACGAGGCCAAGAAGTACTGCCCGGAGCCCGAGGACCGGGGCCGCCGCCTCGACGGCGCGCTGGACTACTCGCCCTACGCCTCCACGGTCCTCTCGAGGAAGATCTGGCGAAGAGAACTGCCCTGAAGTCGGGCCTGTCCCTCTACAGGGGGAATATTCAAAAGTAGTCAAAAAATAGTCTGGGGACGATGTTCTGAGCATCTTGTGACCATGTTTGAATAGTTTGTGACTATTTTTGATCTTTCCTCGAAAATCCCCCTGTAGGGGGACCGGCCCGACTTCCGACTACCCAGAACCCCTCGAGTCATGAAAAAAGGTTCAGGGCGGGAGGTGTTTCGCGATAGCTTCGGCCTCTGAGGGGGGCCTTTCTGGCCCCTGGGGTCGTCAAGAAAAGACCCGGGAGGAAGAACCGGCCTTGGGGGTCGTCACAAAAAAAACCAGAATGAAAAACCGGCCTTGGAGAATAGGTCGAGAACATATTATGACGCCAGAGGTTTGGGTACGCACGTGCACCGATCAATCGGTGCATGTGAATCTGTAGCATTATTTCCTCTTACGGCAGAGGCATAAACTTACGATGGTCCGCGCAGACGTCTTGGATCTGCCTTGGGACCCTCTGGCGGCGCCTCCGCCCCTGGCGTAGGGGTCCGGCGCCGATCCATGAAATCCGCGCGTACCTCCGAAAGTGCATATTCAGGAGCGAAAGAAGGACGTGCACGTACAGCCGGGGCCCTGGAGAAGGAACCCTTTTCGTTGGGGAGGGGCTCGGTGTTCCTTGATTGTTCGACAGTTTGCCTTCTGTTTTCCTGAGGTTTTCCATGGGAAATCGAAGTTCAACTTATGGGAGAAAGGGGCCCCGTTCCTTATTTAGGGTTCCTTAGGTCAACGCCCCGACTGTACATGAACCCACGCTGGTTTCGGGGGTGTGCATTGCGCGAATGTTCGTATCACGCGGACGGTCTCGCGGATCGAGGGGCCGTGTTCATGTACATGGTTGGGCGCGTATGATGATGATGATGATGATGATGATGATGATGATGATGATGATGATGATGATGATGATGATGATGATGAAGATGATGATGATGATGATGATGATGATTGATGATGATGATGATGGATGATGATGAGGTGGTGGAGGAGGAGGAGGCGGAGGAGGATGAAGGATGAGGATGAGGACGAGGTGAGGATGAGGATGAGGAATGAGGTATGAGGGTGAGGATGAGGATGAGGGATGAGGATGAGGGTCGAGCATGTGGATGAGGATGAGGATGAGTGGAGGGGAGGAGGAGGAGGAGGAGGAGAAGGTATGAGGAGGAGGAGGGGCGGGGAGGAGTGAAGGGGGACGAGGAGTAGGAGGAGTGAGGACCCAATTATATATATATATATATATATATATATATATTTTTATATGCGTGTGTGTGTGTATGCAGCTGTCCGCTCGTCTGCGGTCGGGAACTCTCGGACAGCGTGGTCGCCCCGGCGGCTCCGAGCCCACCCGCGCCTCGGCGCGAGGCGCTCGCCCCTGGCGCAGGGGTCCTCCCCGAACGGCTGCGGCCTCCCGGGCTCTCCCGGGCTCTCCCGCCGCGCAGAGCGGAGCGATGCACGCGATGCGCTCGCAGAGCACGGCGTGTCGCCGGGGCCGCCGCCACGGCATGCTGAGCAGAAGCTCCTCGGCCTCTGGACCTCCTTATTTATTTTTTTGTTATGTTTTTTGTGGGTCATCCTCCGCTTTTTTTGTTTTTTTATTCTTTTTTTTTTTTTCTTTTTTTTTCTTTTTTTTTTTTTTCTTTTCTTTTTTTTTTTTCTTTTCTTTTTTTTTTTTTTTTTTTTTTCTTCTCATCCTCCCCCTCCTCCTACCGCCTCCTCCACCCTCCTCCTCCTCCCTCCTCCTCTTCCTCCTCCTCCTTCCTCCTCCTCCTCCCTCCTCCTCCTCCTCCTCCTCCTTCTCCTCCTCCTCCCCCTCCTCCTCCCCGACCACAGGTCATCCCCATGGAGCACCTCGTCAGCCCCATCGAGCCGCGGAGGTCCGCGACGACCAAGTCGACGGCGGCGAGCTTCTTCTTCCACGGCTTCATCTTCTTCGTGACAGTCTCGTACGTGGCCACGATCCTCAGCAAGTTCCTGGATGAGTTGCCCGGATACGCCCGTGTTGAAACGCAACACGTACCGTGTTCAAAGCGTCCGTGTCAACACGTTGCGTGTTGGGGCACGTGTTGGTCCATGTTTTGGCGAACGGATCGCGCCAGACCAACGTGCTCATTCTACGTGTTGAGCTCCGTATCAACACGCCACGTGTTGCGTGTCGCGTATCGGGGCAGCTAAGGTTCCCGGGCAATTTCAGCGACTTCTACCCGATGCACACGTGGGACGAGCTCAGGACGCACGGCTACGTCCTCGAGAAGTTCGGGTGCGCGGCCGCCTTCGGCATCTCCGCGGGTGAGCACAAGATGATCGTGCTCCGGAACTGGATCGGCAAGATTGCCGCGAGACCGGAGTTCGAGGACCGCGCCTTCCCCACCTTCAGGAGGCCTCGAGGGCCGCTTAAACGGGGACCCTGAAGAGCCAGGACGTCGGCGCGGCCCAGGAAAAAATGCAGCCGTGTGTCGGGGCACTCTGCATTCATTCGTCCTCTCCGGGCGGAAGGTGCACAGTCCTGGTTAACAATGCGCCCTGGCTTTTTTGGGGGGGGGAGTCCTTGTTAGCAATGCCCTGGCTTATACAGTCCACCCGCATAGTCAGGATGGGGAACCTTCCCAAGGGTACCCTTGCATTCTTGCCTCCTCGGCCCACCCTTGGCCACTTTCGTTGGCCGCGCCCCGATCGAAAAGCTTCGAAATGGCCTTCCAGGGCCCTTGCATCCCTATCGTGCGTCCTTATGATACTGGTCGGCTGTATGAGGGGGGAGCCCCGAACCTGATGAGCCAGGACGTCGGCGCGGCCAAGAAGAGTGTAGCCGTGTGTCGGGGAACTCTGCATTCCTTCGCCTCTCCAGGCGGAAGGTGCCCAGTCTCAGGCCATCGCAAACATGGATCAAGGAGGCGTGGATTAGCGACGGGTCCCGTTTCCATGGGAAATCGCGGATTTCCGCCGCCGAACGAGGCGGCACCGGCCGCATTTTTGGGATGGCACCTCCCCAGATCCATGGATTTGGCGACAGCGCGCCAAATCCATTGATCGCTAATCCATGTTTGCCCGCCCCCGACAGTCCTGGTTGGCAATGCGCCCTGGTTTTCTTTCGGGGGGAGCCCCGATAAGGTGGGTGGACGCCTTCGCGGACGAGGGCCACCGCGAGGGCGCGCGCCTGCTGTGGCTGGCGTGGACGGACTTCCTGGACACGAACCCGCCGGTGGAGTTCCTGGAGGATTTCCATCGATCGGTGGCTCAAAGCTGGGAGGGGGAGGAGGGGGGGAGGAGGGGGAGGAGAGGAGGAGGAGGAGGAGGGAGGAGGAGTAGGAGGGGGAGGAGGAGGAGGAGGAGGAGGAGGAGGAGGAGGAGTGGGACGAGGTCGAGGAGGAGAAGGAGGAGGAGAAGGAGGAGGAGGGGACGAGGAGGAGAGGGAGGAGGAGGAGGAGGAAGGGAGGAGGAGGAGGAGGAGGAGGAGGTGGAGGCGGAGGGGGTGGGGAGGAGAGGAGGAGGAGGAGGAGGAGGAGGAGCCAGAGGAGGGAGGAGGAGGAGGAGGAGGTGGAGGCGGAGGGAGGTGGGGGAGGAGGAGGAGGAGGAGGAGGAGGAGGAGTTGGAGGAGGTGGAGGAGGAGGAGGAGGAGGTGGAGGAGCAGGAGGGGCCATGGTGGAGCGAGAGTGGATTGGAGGGAGGAGGGGGAGGAGGAAGAGGAGGAGGAGGAGGAGGAGGAGCAGGAAGAGGGGGGGAGGAGGAGGAGTTGGAGAAGGAGGAGGAGGAGGAGGAGGAGGAGGACGACGACGACGACGACGAGGAGGGGGAGAAGGAGAAGGAGGAGGAGGACGAGCTCCTAAGGGATGGGGTGCTAAGGACGAGGTGCCTCAAGCAGTGTAGACCCATTCTTAGATCCACTTCTATCCTTAAGGCCCCATCCCTCGGGAACCCATCTTTGAACCACTGACCATCGACGGCGCGCCCGGGGGGTAGGTGAGAAGGGGCGGGCCGTCTCAGAGGGCTCGGAAGTCCTGCAGCCTTCCCAGAGGTTTTCGAGGCCGTCCCCGAAGGCACGGAGAGCTTCCCAGATGGCCGGAGGGGGGCTTCTGAGAAGCCCCGCCGCGTTCTGAGAAGCCTTCCTTCTTCTCACTTCCCCCCTTCGCTTGCCGCCGGTTCAAGGGAGGAAAAGGTACCCATACCACTACCATTCCCTCCTTTTGGGGGGCCTTCGTCGATACGGCGGGATTCGCCTCGAAGTCCTAGTCCGAAAGCACCCCAGGAGAGGTCCGGGGAGCAGCGGTATCGGTTTAGTTTCTCGAGGAGTGGTCCGACAACCTGCGAGAGCAGTCTTGGGAGGACCCGAGGGAGACAAAGACGCATATTGTCGAAGGTCCGCGCGGATTGCCTGGATCTGCGCCAGGCGCCCATGACGCCGCACAGGACGCGCTCCGCGCGACAGCGAGAGGGGGGGCCCCGCGCCGATCGAGGAGATCCGCGGGAGGCTTTCAACGCGTTTGCGTACAGAGTCTGGACGCGGAAAGAAGGACAGGTTCGGGCTCAGGAGGGGCTGGGTCTACGTTCTTGGCATCGCTCGGACGTGTGCATTTTTCTCTCGGCGAGGGCCATCGAGGAGCATCCTTGATCATTTTGCGAAAAAACCACGCACGAAACCGAAAAAAGCACAGGGAATGGACGTCCGAGCGATGGCCTGCGGTCTTTGCCTCTGATTTGTTCTGGTGGAACCCGTGTGTGGCCCAGGCCCGCCGTGGCCATCCGTTCCCTGCTTTGCCAGTTCGAGACACATCCCTACCCCTGTGTTTGGCAGCACCTTCCTCGGGAGAGGAAAAAACACACAGACACAATTAACCTTCGATTCCCCCGAGCATATGGGAAAATATGGGAAGTGGGGGGAAGACAGAAGCCCTGAAAATATAGGGAAATATGGGGGGTAGGGGGGTATTTTTATTTGTGAGTATTTGTGTGTGTGTGTGTCCTGGGGCCCCTTCACTTTCCCTCGGTGCCGATCCGAAGGATCCCCCTCAGCTTCTGAGGGCACGTCCCCAGGATTTTCCCCGCCCTGGGGCTGACGATCCAAGGGGCAGGCATCAGTTCGAGGCTGGTGACTATTCGCGTTCGTTCGGGTAGCACCAGTCATCTAAGACATGCGCCGTCCTGATTGTTTCAGGACGGCGTCCCCGGAAGTCCAGACCCTTTGCCTGGGCCGGCGTTTCATCCCGAGTCGTTTTCTGACGGCCCCGGGGACTGGCGAGGGCCCCCCCGGGGCCGAAAACGGCGACAAATCGCCCGTCTTGGTTTTTGTTTACGACGCGATCACGTGTGGCGTTACAGTCGTGGCCCTGCAAGAAGGGACCCTTTTGCTTGGGGAGGGGCTCCGTGTTCCTTGATTGCTTCGCAGTTTGCCTTGGGTTTTCTTTTTGGTCTTCGATGGGAACTCGAAGTTCAACTTGTGGATGGAAGGGGCCTCGCCCCTTAGGGTTCTCTGGGTCAGCGCTCCGACTGTATTTCTTCCTCTCCGAGGCCGCGCACTCCAACTCCCCCTTCGAGCTCACGTGGGGCGCGAAGCGGGTCCTGCCGGTCACGCCCAGTCAGGCGCAGGCCTTTGCGAAGATGCGCCACGAGGCCGTGCCCGAGGGCGGGGTCGAGCTCCAGCAGGACCTCGGCGGCGAGCCACACCCAGAGAGCCAACGCATCGACGAAAATCAAGACGGAGGTTTTTCGCAAAGTTCGGCCCCTGGGGGCCCTCGCCGGGCCTCGGGACCGTCAGAAATCGTCTCAGGATGGAAAACCGGTCCTGAGGAATAGGTCAAGATTTCTGGGGACCCCGTATTGAAACAATCACGACACCGGATCTCAAGGAAGGGGGGGGAAATTCGAGGCTCGAATTTCGAGGTGCGAGATTTTCGGACGCTTCCGTCGGTTCTCGGCGGCTTTCTACCCTCGGGATGCTCGCCAGCAGCTGCGCCTCGCCGAACTCGTTCCCGGGGGTGCCCGGATCGTCCCGAACGGCCGCTGGAGACCCGAGCTGCGACCCAAAGACCAAGTTCGGCGGCGCGCCCGGGGGGGGGGGAAGGAGAAGGAGGAGGAGAAGGAGGAGGAGAAGGAGGAGGAGGAGGAGCAGGAGGAGGAGGAGCAGGAGGAGGAGGAGGAGGAGAAGGAGAAGGCACTCTCTCAGAAAGGCGGCGGGGGCTGCTCAGAAGCCCTCCGCCTTTCGGAGAGGGTTTCTCAGCGTCTCCGGGCAGGCTTCGGAAGTGTCCCGGAAGGCGGGGGAACGTCCGCGCCTTCCGAGAGAATGCCCGCCCCTTTTCATCATGCCCTCCTTTGGCTCGCCGCCGGTAAGGACTCCCTGGCGAGGCTGCGGGACATGGCCGACCTGTACAGCCAGCTCCCGGGCGACATGAGGATGCTGAGGAGGAAAGGTACGGTCGGACCGAGGTATACGATGGAGGTCGGTTCGGGGAGGGTATTCTAATGTTCTTCGTGCTTGTCGGATGCTCTTGTGCATCCTGGGGCCGGTACCCGTGGCTGTTCTGTGTGCTTTGGCTGGCGGAGGGTATCATGCTCTTAGGGGATGGTTGTCTGGCCGAAGTTCGACTGTGCTTATGCTGCTGCCCTTGCCTCGGTTTTTCCCTTTTCTGGGCCTCCTGGAAGGCCCTCGTCGCCACCGCTGGATTCGCTTCGAATTCCTGGTCGGAACGCACCCTGAGAGAGGTCCTGGGAGCAGCGGTATCGGTACCTCTGGGTTTCCTCAAGGCTGGAGCAGTCCCTGAGCAAGAAGGACGACTGTGTGCTCACCAGGGAGGTCAACCTGAGTCTCAAGTCGGAGTCGGCCAAGAAGCGGAGCCAGGGCTGCTACACAATCAAGTACGGCCAGGCGTGGATCAAGGAGATGGACGCGAAGTTCCAGGAGCGGACTGCCGCAACGGGTTCGGCCTCGACGGAGCAGTACAAGAAGCAGCTCGCGATCATGGACGCCAAGGGCCGCAGTGTCCCATTGGCTGAGCTCACCAAGAACTTCGCGGAGGCACGGTTCCCCCTGCACTTCCGGGAGATGTCAGCACACAAGGACCGCAAGTTGATCATGATCTACATGGCGCGCGCCCGGCCCGAGACGGAGCGCAAGGGCATCGAGAAGACGCGCGGCCTGGACAAATACCTGTGGGCATGCTTGAAGCCGAGCGCGGTCAGGCCGTACCCCGGGGAGAACGGCACACGCAAGCAGTTCAAACGCCGCAAGGTCGATGGCAAGGAGTTCGAGCCTCTCCTCAGCCACCCCCCTGGAGCGCCGAAGGGAATCTACGACGAGGTCCGCAGGTGCGTCCAGGACATTCTCTCGCGCCAGCACAAGAAGTTCCTCGACCAGCTGGAGGAGCCCGCCTTCTCGCAGAAGAAAAACATGCGCGGGCACCGGGAGTTGGCCGAAGAGTACCTCAAGTACCGCGTGGTGGAATCGGATTGGGAGCTCGGCCGCTGGTGCTACGGCGAGATCGTCGGCGAAGACCAGGACGTCGACGGCGACGAGGTACTCATCTTGGACAACCCTTCCAGCGCGCTGCTGGAACTGGTCAGCGGCTTCAAGGACGCAAAGCAAGCAGGCATGGGGCTCGTGGCCCTGGAGACGGTGGAGGAAGTTGCTTGCACTTGCTTCGTCCGCGATCTGGTGCGCGTGGGCATCGCGACGTCACCCAGCCTGGAATTCCTCTTTTCTGCGTACGACGAGGACGAGCAGTCGACCTACAACGCGCAGGCGTTCGAGAAGGAGTTCCGCGCGAAGCTGCGCGGGATCATCAGCGAGCAGGCGGCGAGGGGGCTGCAGAGGTGCACCGTCACCCAGTACCAGCAGGGCCTCGACCTCACCGTGGAGATCCAGACGCGCTGCCGCGCACAGCCGCCACGGCGCCGTGGGGGAGAGGAGGGGGCTGGACAGGGCGAGCGGCGGAGGGCTGCGGGGAGTCCACGAGAGGCGCTGCGCGAGATTTCGCCTCCAGTGGGCCGAAGCCCCCTTCCCCCAACAGAAGACAATAGCAAATGACAACGCCCCCCCCCAAAAAAAAAAATTAACAAAACGCTGGCCAGGACGGCCTGGACAGCAGAAGTGGGCGTGGCCAGGTCGGCGGCGCGAGTGCGCGGAGGTCACCGCGCGTGGGGTATCGTGCGGCGCGGCCCGCGAAGTTGTGCGACCCGGATGGGCGTCGATGTGGCGGGAGGGGGGGGGGGGGGGCTGGCCTCTGCCTCGCAGGACACCCGATCATCATAAAATGGAATCAAGAGGGTCAGACGCACGTCGGCTGCGCAGTCAGCGCATCGGCGGATCAACGGCGAGGGCCAGATCATCGAGGAGATCCGCCGCCGCCTGGAGTCGAGCATCTCCGTGCTGAACTACGAGGGCCGGCTGATGGACATTTGGGGGGCGACGATCACGTCGTGTCGCGGAAAAACTTACGACGAAAGGTTTGGGCAATGTTCGGCCTCTGGGGGCCCTACCAGTCCCCAGGACCGACAACCATAAATAATGGCCTTGCAAAAGCAAGACATATGATTTGTCTGCGTGGACCTCGAAAAGATGTTGCTGCACGATGGATGTGGAAGCTGTGTGACGCAAGGCATGTAGTGTAAGTTGTGTGGGGGTACAATATACGTAGTGCAAAGTATGCGGTGCAAGCTTTGTGGTGCACCTTATGTGGTCTAAACAAGATGGTGTACGCTATGTGGTGTAAGCCGTGCTGTGCAAGCTACGAGGTGCAAGCTACGCGGTGTGGGCTGCGCGGTGCGAGAGGTGTGGTGCAAGCTGCCGGGCGCACGCAAGGTGCTACATGCTGTGCGGCCTGAGCTACGCGGTGCTGCACGCGCGGTAAGAGCTGCGTAGTGCGGTGTGCGCGGCCGCCGCGCGCACGAGGCGCACGCGGGCGGGCACAGGGCAACACCTCCGCACACACACAGCGCAAGAGGCGCCCACGAGGCGCCCACGGGCGAGCACCCGGCGAGAGCTCGGCACACCCACCCAGCACGAGGCGCCCACGAGGCGCCCACCAGCTGGGCACCGGCCGAAGACCCGGCGCATCCGACAGCAAATGCCCTGCAGGAGCACAAGAAGCAAAAGAGCCCCCCCCCCCGGTGCAAGCACTGCCCGTCGGGAGCAAATGGGAGGTCCGCGCGCACTTCTTGGCCAGCTCTGCACCCCTCCTCCCCTTCGCCCCCCGGGCTGCGCCTCCAGCGCCGCCCCCGGCGCGCTCCGCGCGACGGGGAAGGGGTGTGGCGCGGGGGAGGCGGAAGCCCGCTAGGCCTCCTAGATGGGGTCCGAGCGGACGCGGTCTCAGGATCGCGCCGCATCGCCGATGCATCGGCGATGCGGCTCGATGTGGAGTCCGATTTCCTCCACGCCGACGGCGCCGAGGCATCGTCGACGTCGCCGATACATCGCCAGTGCATCGCCGATGCATCTCCGATGTATCGCTGATGCGCTACTCGGACCCCATCTGGGAGGCCTCTGTGTCCCCCGTTCGGGGCCGCAAGTGGCTCAAAACATAGGTCTGCTCTTGGCGTGTCCCTGGCCATGCCTTTGGAACTGTTTCGCCCGCGCACGAGTGATTCTCGTATGTTTGGTTATCCTTCTCTTGCCCTTGGCTGACCCTGACCCCCACGAGGATCCACATGAGCAGGTAACAAATAAGTATGCTGTTGGCTTGTCCTTGGCATTTTCTTGGGAAATGCGTCGCCCGCGCAGGTATGCTTCTCAGAAGCGTGCTTGTCCTTCGCTTGCCCGTCGCTGACTCCGACCACAGAGGGCTGACCCCAAGCAGCAGGCCAGTGAGGTATGCTTCTCATAGCTGTGTATTGCCCTTCGCTTGCCCGCTTGCCCTTTCACCTGACTCCGACCCTGGGAAGGCTGACCCCCGTGGGCAGGCGAGTGAGAGACATCGGCTCGGCCCTGCCGTGCCTGGCATGCCGGGCACGCGCAGAGCTCGGCCAGCTCCGGGGCTCGGGAGGGGCCCGAAGTCGGAAACTGGAACATCTACATTACCAATGGCAGGCTGTGGTTCAATCCCCGGACTTTTTGAGGTTCGGGGGCGACGTCGGGGTGGCGTGGTGTATACTTGTTTACCCGTCGTCCCCGAGAAACAGCGCAAATGCATACACGAGGATCCCGTGTACACCAGGATCCGCTTGCCTGTGCGAATGTCTGTGCAGTGCCAGAAAGAGCGTCAGTGCACAGAGTTTGTTTCCCTACGATAGCGCGCCTTCGCAGGGCATCCTCTCGGGACGCAACTTGCACACCTGCACCCAGTACACACTTTTGGAGCGTTCGCGGGCACGCGCGCAGCGGCGTGGGGGCATTGGGCCCGCCCATGGGGGATCGACAGCGCCACTCGCGGGGGGGGGGGGGGGGCAGACGCGAGTGGAGGGGCGGGCACGGGGAGACGAGGTGAATGACGGGGAGACCCGGACACACACGCACACACACACACACACACATACACACACACACACATACGCACACACACACACACGCGCACAAACACACACGCACACACGCACACATACACACACATACATTCATTCATACATACATACATACATAGAGACAGACAGAGACAGACAGACAGACAGACATACAGACATACAGACATATCTACATACAGCCATACATACAGACGATAATTCGTTCGTTCTTAGATACATACATACATGCATGCATGCATACATGCATGCAGACATACATATGTTTACACATACATACATACATACATACATACATACATACATACATACATACATACATACATACATACATACATAAATGCAGGCATGCATACATACATGCATACATGCATACATGATTACCTACACAAACATACGTATACGTATGCATATACATACTTGCATACCTTCATACATACATAACACATACATACATACATACATACATACATACATGCATACATACATACTTCAACACACACACCTACGTACATACATACCTTCATATATGCATACATACACACACATACGTGCATACATGCATACGCACATACAAGCACACATACAAACAAGCAAACAAACATACATACATACATACTCACACATCTACATGCATGCATGCAAACATACTTACAGTATACATGCATACTCATGTATATCTATATATGCACAAAGATAACCTATCTGAAATATAGATGAGCACAGCGGGCCAGGCCACGCCCCGGGCCCGCACGGGGCAGACCACTCTTCCGATCGCACCCAGCTGGGGCGAGAGCATCGTGGGATTGGCAAGAGCCCCGGACCCCCTCGAGTCATGAAAAAAACACGACGGAGGTGTTTCGTATTTTCGGCCTTTGCGGGCCCTCACCAGGCCTGGGGACCGTCAAGAAAAACGAGCCAGGGTGACAAGCTGGTCCCCAGGAAGGGGTCCAGACTTCTAGGGGTCGCGTCAGGAAAAAACACGACATCGGGGGTCTGGGACTCTGGCAGAGGGATCGAGGAAGGGTGGGAAGAGAAGGTGAAGCCTGGGCACGGTCACGCGGGTCCATCAGCTGACGGGTGGCTGCCCAGCTCGCGAGCTGGAGCAGTGGCCAGTTGGACCCCGCCGGTCCACGTCCCGAGACGGACTTCATCCGACATTGCGAGAGAGCGGGAGCGGCGAGACAAGCAGGGAGACAAGGCGGACAGGAACTCGGAATTCAGAACTCGGGTGTCCACGAAAAGATGCCAGAGGGCATCACTGCCGAGGGTGCGCAATACGCTGAAGACGCCATGCAGACCAGAAGGACCCACGTGGAGTGGGCTGAGAGAAAAGTAGCGAACTGTCAAACAACTTGAGCAAGGCAATGGATGCTCTGCTCGAGGACTCCTGAAGTCCTCGCCTTGAGGAGAGGGTGGGGGGCATACACACGCTGCTGCTGCTGCTACACTGCGCAAGCGCGGGGAGGGGCGCGGCAGGGAACGAGAGGGGAGGGGCATGCGAGGGCCAACAACAAGGAAGCAAACACGAGCACGTTGCTCGCAGCGCGACGGCGCGGCTGCCTGGAGGCGGCGGTGCCGCTGGGCGCGCCGCCCCCCCACCCCCGGGCCCAGGGGGTCCCCGGCGCGCGCCGCGCGACCGGCGGGGGGGGGGGCTGAGCTTCGTGCGAGGGCCCTTTGAGCGGGGTGCCACCCCAGACGGCTTGGGCCAAGGCTACGGACACACACACACACACAGACACACACACACACACACACACGCACACACACGCACACACACACACACACATACACTTTTTGCGTCGGCGGCTAGGCAGAGTGACTGCGCTGGCGATGTGGCATTAGGGGGACACACACAAAATACGAATTAAGCCGCCGTGCAACGCACACACACACACACACACACACACACACACACACACACACACACGCACACACGCACACACGCACACACGCACGCACACACACACACACACACACACACACACACACACACACACACACACGCACGCACACGCGCACGCGCACGCACACGCACACGCACACGCACACGCACACGCACACGCACACGCACACGCACACGCGCACGCATGCACGCATGCACGCATGCACGCACGCACGCACGCGCGCACGCACGCACGCACGCACGCACACGCGCACACGCGCACATATACACACACACACACACACACACACACACACGCACGCACGCACGCACGCACGCACGCACGCACGCTGACACACTGTTGATCCTCGAGTGGCGAAGTGGTGGCACCTTCGCGAAGCGCTGAGCCAGGACACGTTCCAGCGATGTTCCACCTGGCGTAGCACTAAGTCGGGCATGTCCCTCTCCATGAGGAAAGTTCAAAAATAGTCAGAAATAGTCGGCGGACGACTTTTTTAGTTTCTGACCATGCTGGAGTAGGTTTGACTTTATTTTTTTTATTTTTCGTCAAGAATCCCTTTGTAGGAGGACATGCCAGACCTAAGCGGAGCAGAGGAGTGGACTAGACGAGAGCAGTCGCACTGAGCGGATGCACGCGGAAGAGGCCGAAGCACGTGCAGAGCAGCACAAGAGCCCAAGGCGGCAAGCACGGCTCCGAGTCCGCAGCCTCCGGCTGTGAGCGCGCGACGCGTGGGGGGGGCCCAGGGACGGGGCGGGAGTGCACTCCCGGCCGACGGCAGCGCCGCCTGATCCGTCGTGGCGAATGCTCCGCAAACACAGGACATACACACACACACACACACACGCACCCACGCAACACACGCAAACACAGCACACACACACACACACACACACGCACCCACAACACACACGCACGCACACACACACACACACAACACACACACACACACACACACACACAGCACGCACGCAACGCACGCACGCACACACACACACAGAACACACACACACACACACACACACAGACACGCGCACGCACGCACGCACGCACGCATGCACGCACGCACGCACACACACAGCCTCCCAGGACAGCCACCCCACGGTGCTCGTCAAGAAGAACCTCCTCACGCCGTACATCGGCGTGCGCGGGAAGGGTGGCGGCCTGAACTTCGCGGTCGACCTCCTGCAGTTCCGCGACGGCTTCATCGGCACCGGGCTCGAGCAGGAGGGGGGGCAGAAGAAGGAGAGGCGGAAGAGAGGAGGGCAGGAGGGGAGAGGAGGAAGGAGCAAGGGGAGGAGAGGGCAGACCAGGGAGGAGGAGGAGGACGACGACGACGACAACGATGACGAGGAGGAAAAACGAGGAGAAGCGACCAGGATGAGGAGGGGGGAGAGAGGAGGAGGAGGAGGAGGAGGAGGAGGAGGAGGAGGAGGAGGAGGAGGAGGAGGAGGAGGAGTGCAGGACGAGCGGGAAGGAGGAGAAAGGATGAGGTATGAGGAGGAATAGGGGAGGAGAAAGTCGGGGAGGAGGGGATCCAGGATGAGGAGGATGGGGAGAATAATAATAAGAACCCCTGAGGGTCGAGTGTGACCCCAGATGACGTTTTAAACTGGTCCGAATGTGCCAAAGCACATCCTCTCCTCTCTTCTCCTCATCATCGAATCCCCCTCGGCGGAGGAGGAGGAGGAGGAGGTGGAGAAGGAGGAGAAGGATTGAGGGCACCCCCTAGAACAGACTCGAAACTCCAAGAACACCTCCGACCAGAAGTAACATAATATCTGCGTGTGCGCATCTACTATCATGCATCGTGAAACAGGAAGGAGAGAGAAAATGACCACGAGGACGAGGAGGAGAGGAGGAGGAGGAGGAAGAGCAAGGAAGAGTGGAATGGGAGGGGGGAGGGGGGAAGGAGGAGGAGGATGAGCAAGAGGATGAGAAAGCGAAGAGGGAGAAGGACCAGCTGGAGCAGGATCAAAAGGAGGTGGAAGAGGAGCAAGAGGAGGGCGAGGAATCAAGTTGGCCAGGTCGAGCAAGGCAGAGGGCCCCGCCTTTTCCCGCCCCCTCCCCTCCCCCAGCATGCGAATCCATCGTGGCGCCACTGGATAGCGGGGCTCGGAACGCACTCCCACTTCGCAGACGGAAGAAGCTCGCGCGCGGCGCCGCTGCCGACGACCTGGCGACGGGAGAACGACGCGGGCCGCGCCGGGCCGGCAGCGGCAAAAATGCCCAGGGGCGCGGCGAAGCCGAAGCGTGCGCCGAGCCGACACGGCACGCCACTGTCACTCGCGAGCTGCGCGGCGCCCGGTCGAGGTCGGCACTTCGGGCGCCCTCGCGCGGCCCCGGGAGCCGCCGTCGGATCCGTGCCGTCCGGCGCGCGGAGCATGCGCCGCGCTCGTGCTGGAGCGCCACTGCCGAACGAAGTGCGCACGGAGTTCGGGCGAGGGCGACGAGTGTGCCACTCGCGCGGGCACCCCAAAGTGGGGAGGGCGACAAGTGTGCGCCGCGCCGAGGCGAGACTGCCATTTTCAGGGGAAGCTGCGCGGCGCTGAGGCGAGAGCGACGCGTCGGCCTTTCGCGCGCGATGCGCGCCGCGCCTTTCCCTTGTCGCACATCCTGCAACATGGGCGACTGAATGTCAATGCTGAGACGACTAACACGTAGGATGGGCATCCCGGATCTGGTTGCCATCGGCCGGCCAGGTGGCAGGACGACAAAGAGGAGCAGCATCAGCACCAGCAGCATCAGAGGCAGAAGAAGGAGGAAGAGGAGGACGACAACGAGGAGGACAAGCAGAAGGAGGAAATGAATAGAAATAGTGCACCCCCTGGAGCCCCCCTAATGCATGGGACTGGCCAACACACCGACAACCTCTACAGGAGTCGCACCACCTGAGAAATTGGCCTGCCAACGGGTGCCCCACCAGAATCTCTGATCTACCAATGGGCCCGCAGAGCCCCCTGGGCACCTTACGAGGCTCAGAGCCGACGAAGGATATGCCTTCGAATTCTTTATAGCGTGGAGATATCTCATCGCATGTGCCAGCAGTATCCCTCTCCTCGTCTTCCTTCTCATCCTCTTCCTCCTCCTTCTCCTCCTCCTCCAGGGACACTCGCGCCGCTAAACCTGGATCCCCTCGGGGTCAGGGGGCGTCACATAAGGATAGAAGGAGCGCTATTTGCTGCTGCTGGCAGGGGGGGGGGTTCAACCCCCGTGCCCCTCCCAAAACCACGGGGGGAGAGGTGGGTCCAGACACCCCCCCTCCCAGGGAAAATTATTCAGAGAGAGGTCCAGAAACCCCCCTTCCCCCCACGGGAAAATTAGTCAAGGGGTCCAGAATCCCCTGGCAACGACGACGAAGACGATGACGACGACGAAGACGATGACGACGATGACGACGACGATGTCGCCGCCGCCAGCAAAGAACGCGGACGAAGGCGACGACGACGACGAAGAAGAAGGCGACGACGACGACGTGGACGACGACGACGACGACGACGACGACGACGACGACGATGGCGACGGCGACGGTGACGGCGGCGGCGGCGACGATAACGACGACTACGGAGACGACGACGACGACGACGACGACGATAACGACGACTACGGAGACGACAACGGAGACGATGATGATGACGGCGACGACGACGACGATGAAGACGATGACGACGACGACGATGAAGACAATGACGACGATGACGATGACGACGAAGACGACGACGACGACCACGACGACGACGACGACCACGACGAAAACGACCACGACGACCACGAGGACGACGTCAGCGTATCACACTCGCCGACTGTCTCGGCGGATCCGCGTCTCCCCAGGGGCACTCACGGGGTCTGGCGCGGCGCGAGCCCTCCCTGGCCGCACGCAGCCGCCAACCCGCTCGTTCTCGCAGGGAGGCGACCCGAGCCCCGGCGCGCTGGAACTCCACACTCGAGGAAGCGCAGACACTTTGCGATCTTGGCGCTGCAGTTTTTGCACAACGGGCGTGTTCGCCCGGTTTCGGGCCCCTGGCGGCCCTCGAGTTTCGAGGCTCTACCCTGAGATCTTGGCGTCTCATTCCCAACCATCCTGTAGTGTTGGGTCCTCGTTTTGAGTAGACAGCGCCCCGCGTATTCTCTCCTCCTTTCTCATCCCCCTCCTCCCTCCTCCCATCCGCGCCTATGCCCTCCGCATGTGTCTGTTTCGGTACACCCCTCACACGGTTCGTGACCCCCATAGGAGCTCAACCGAGGGTCCCCGTGGCGCAGCCCGACAGCATCCTTGCCACCCATGTCAGCACATTCCTCACACGTTTCGCGGCCCCCATAGGAGCTCAACCGAGGGTCCCAGTGGCGCAGCCCGCATGCGTCGTCTCCACCCATGTCGGCACACACCCCTCACACGTTCCGTCGCCACCGAGGAGCTCCACCGAAGGTCCCAGTGGCGCAGCCCGCATGAGTCCCCGCCACCGATTTCGGCACACCCCTCACACGTTTCGTGGCCCCAGATCCACCGAAGGTCCCAGTGGCAGCCCGCATGCGTCCCAGCCACCCATTTTGACATACCCCTCACACTTTTTGTGGCCCCGTAGGGAGCTCCGCCGAAGGTCCCAGTTGCGCAGCCCGCATGCGTCCCCGCCACCCACTTTGACACACCCCTCACACGTTTCATGGCCCCATAGGGAGCTCCACCGAAGGTCCCAGTGGCGCAGTCCGCATGCGTCCCCGCCACCAATTCCGGCACGCCCCTCACACGTTTCGTGGCCCCAGAGGAGCTCCACCGAAGGTCGCAATTGCGCAGCCCGCATGCGTCCCCGCCACCCATTTTGACATATGCCCCACACGTTTCGTGGCCCCGTAGAGCTCCGCCGAAGGACCTGCAGTTGCGCAGCCCGCATGCGTCCACGCCACCCACTTTGACACACCCCTCACACGCTTCATGGCCCCATAGGAGCCGAAAGTCGCAGTGGCGCAGCCCGCATGCGTCCCCGCCACCAATTCAGGCACACCCCTCAAACGTTTCGTGGCCACATCGGAACTCCACCGAAGGTCCCAGTGGCGCAGCCGTGCAGTCCCGCCACATTTCTGCCAACATTCAACGTTTCGTGGCACCAAAGAAGCTCGACACAGCCTCGCGCACCATCGTGAGAGCTGAACCGCCATGAGTCCCGCACGATTTCGGCACGCCTCACATTACGTTGGTCCTAGGAGGCTCAGAAAGGGCCCAGTGGCGGTTGCCCCATTTGCGTCCCCGCACCCATTTCGGCACCCCAGACACACAGTTTAGTTGGCCCCGTTAGAAGCTCGAGAAGGTCCAGTGGCGAAGCCGATGTTGTACCCGCCCACTATTCGGCACACCCCTCACACGTTCTGGGCTCCTCCTCCTCTCCTCTCCTCTCCTCCTCCTCCTCCTCCTCCTCTTCTTCCTCCTCCTCCTCCTCCCTCGTCTCCCTCCCACGAGAGTCTCGGGTGGCTTGAAGGGTTTGAGTGCTGTGTTGTGCTTATCCTCCCTCGCCCTCCTCTCACTCCCCTCAGGAGAAGGAGGAGGAGGAAGAAGAGGAGGAGGAGGAGGAGGAGGAGGAGGACAATGACGAGGACGAGAACGAGGACGACGACGACGACGACGACGACGACGACGACGACGACGACGACGACGACGACGACGACGTGGACGACGACGACGACGACGACGACGACGACGACGACGACGACGACGACGACGACGACGACGACGACGACGACGACGACGACGAAAACGACGAGGATGAGGACGAGCAGAGAGGGGGCCTCGAGCAGGACCCGGTCCCCGAGCGCATGCTGTTCGGCATCTTCGACGCGCGCCACCAGCCGCACCCGGACCGCCCTCCGCGGCGGCGGAGGGGCACACACGGCCAAGGGGGGGCAGAAGGGCGGGACAGGGAGGGAGGGACAAGGAGGGAGGGAGGAGGGGGAGGAGGAGAAGGAGCAGGAGGAGGAGGAAGAGGAGGAGGAGGAGGAGGTGGAGGACGAGGAGGGGGAGGAGGAAGAGGAGGAGGAGAAGGACGGGGACGAGGAGGAGGAGGAGGACGAGGAGGAGGAGAAGGAAGAGGAGGAGGATGAATTGAAGGAGGAGCAGGACGAGAAGGAGGAGGAGGAGGAGGAGGAGGAGGAGGAGGAGGAGGAGGGAGGAGAGGATGAGGTGAAGCGGCAGCGCGCCGAGCACTCTCATGCCATCAGGCAACAGGGAGCAGGAGGAGGGGAGATGAGGGCAGCGGAGGAGGAGGAAAAGGATAAGGACGAAAAGGCGGAGGACGAGGATGAAGAGGAGAGGCGAGGAGGAGGAGATAGAGGAAATAGAGGAGACAGAGGAGAATGAGGAGAAGGGATAGGAGGAAGAGGAGGAGGAGGAGGAGGAGGACGAGGAGCAGGAGGAGGAGGAGGAGGAGGAGGAGGAGGAGGAGGGAGAGGGGGGAGGAAGCAAGAGCAAGACGAGAAGAACCAGAGGAAACCCTGCATGGGTCAACGACGTTGCAGTACGTCCTACTGTCCCAAGCCTCCTTCCTAAGTAGCCCCTGCAAGAATGTCCTTTCCCTGCGTGAACTGGTCTCCTTGAAGCACGAACGTCCCGTTGCCTAAAAGTCGGGCGGGAGCTCTTCTCCCTTCGAGCCATAAGGAATGCGACAAATTGTGATCAAGAAATTCAAGGAAGTGTCGAGCGACAGCCCTGCTGTGAAAAAGACACCCCTCCATCTGTGTTAATGCTGCACATTGATAGATTCCTTGCAACAGGCATTAAGGAAGTCTGAAGCGAGAGGTCCATGTTGATAACAAACCGCCCTCCCCCCGTGTAAATGTTGCACCGCTTTACGCGTGTGGAGATACATGTTGAGGAAGTCTCCAGGCGAGAGCCCCGTTCCGAGGAGCAACCGCCCCCCATCCGTGTAAGTGTCGGAAATGTGTGAGACGGGTGTGCGCGGCGCCAAAGCAAGACTCATCCCAAAAAACGGGCCGCCCCCCATATGCTTAGCTATTGGCAGGCGTCCAGC